AAATGGAAGGGGAAAATGGCACGTTGCAGAGTAACTTGTGATTTTACAAAATGAATATGTACAGAAATATGTGATCCTGTTGATTATTAGATAGTTGATCAGCGAAGATGATCGAAAGTGAGAACGGACGTCACGGGCCGTCAAGAGATGTTGGGGGAGAAAATTCACCCCGTGGCTCTCATCTCGATCACCACATCACTGCGGTGAAACATGAATAGATAGATAGTGCGGGCGCTATTGGTGGCGCTTTCTGGCGCCAAGCGCATTGAGTGCGCACCACATGTAGGGAGTGCTGATAAACGGTACGATGATATGGGGGACAATAGACCCGGGCAAAGATGATGAGACACGACGATCAGCGAAAACGGATAGAGACAACGCGATGCAACGGTGTTACCAGGTGTGTTGTAACATCATAAATCGGTCGGTACTGAGAAACCGCCGTGTCAAAGGCGAATAAAATCAAATCTAAACGACTCGTCAAGGTGGTCAACAATAAACCGTAACTGAGCTGCGAAATAGACATTGGAAACTGTACAGTCCCAAAAAGATTATTAGTAAAAAAAGTGAGGCAAAAATTGAAATGTGGAAGTAACCTTCGCCAATCGATAATTCACCAATCTCAAAACTCATGGTCAGTACTGGTAATTACATGAAAGATCCTTGGTTATGGGCTGGCGACTTACGCGCGACGACAACACGCGGCCACCGCGACGATTCGCTGCCGAGAATTATGTTGTTACAAAATGAACATGCTGTTCACAAGCTCCGCCCCACTGTCGCGTAATTGGTGTGCTGCTAACCGAAGGCGGTACCAGCTTGCCTCCGATGCTCCGCCCAGTCGGCGTTGATTCGGCGCCGCCGCTCGTTGAGGTTCGCCAACAACGCTGCCCCTGCACTCAACCACGTCTCTCTGGGATTACGGTAGTTGAGGAAAATGAGGGGCGGACCATGGGGAGGGTGTAGAACGAGCATAATGGCTAACGGCATCGTTCAAACACAGAAACAACGTAATACTACAAGGAATCGAACATTAAAGATGGTGATTGTTATTGTAATCAGTGATGTGATCAGTAACGGACCGTGGAGTGATAGTGTAACAAAAGAATGCGTCCAAAGACATCACGTAACACAATAAACATTTAATGTTACACTAATTCCCTTGTTAGAGAGTTTTGAGCGTATATGGTGCTGTTTACAGGTGGGACCTACCCAGGAAATGACGAATAGCCTGGATTTTCAAGCAGCGGCGGCACCAGCCGACAAGCTGACCGCGGAATTTTCATTGCGTTTTCAATCAGATGGGTGCGGCAAATGAAGAGGTGTAACATGGGGATGAAAATGATGATGAGCAGCAGCAACAGCAGCAGAAGTCCAGCGAACCCGTTTTCGCACGTGCACGTGTTTCATACAGTCAAAAGCGGACGGTCGAGAATTGCGGTGTGGTTACGTTGCGTTGCTGCCTTTTGCGTCCAATCGGCATGCAGTTTTACATTAGGCAACACAATAACAATCACTATGGACAATGGACAATAAGTCGAATACACAGTATCAATTACGCTCTTACAATGTGGAAAAAAGCTACTGCGCCCGTGAAAAATTTGTCTCAAAAGCTTGTATGGGCAACTAGAGGTCGAACATCACGTGGTCTAGCGGTTGGGAGGGGGAGCGCTTGGGGGGGGGACCGAACGGTTCTCAGCTAAGCTTACAAGCTACCTTGTGAAGACTGTGAAGAAAGGGGCTTACTCGCACCATGTGCAGCTTCTCGGAAGTTCACAAATCCCGCCAAAGTAAGACCTGTTATTCTATGTAAACTAACAAAGGGAACCACAGAGAAAGCAAAATGTCCCCTCCAAGCCGGACAGCTCGCAATAGGGGTTTCTTAACCCAATCGGCTGCTGTAACCTGAGGTGTTGAGGAATCATGATGCTAGTCAAATGCATCGAGGTACTTTGGTGCAGAGCACCCAAGGCAATCGAATTCATTGCACACACATTCAAAGCGGTCGAGAAAAGTATACCCTCAATCTGAGGGGC